TGAAAGATGATTTTTAGTTTTTAAAATCCATAGTTCATGATTCTTGTATGTTACTTTTGAACTATAAAATTTTTGCTTTGATTTGTTCTTTTGAATTTATTATATAAGCACAAATAGATGATTCAAATATCAAATATGCTTTATAATGTATTCTATGAGTGGTTTGATCAAGTTCTTCAAAGAAAATTTTCTTTATTGATCAAACATTATTTTTGGGCTTAAATCTCGATTTATGATTTCATTGATTAATTTGTTTTCATTTAAAAACTTTTTGCATGATTCTCATGTTCCATTTTTTTTGATTTCATAAATCTATTTCTATATATTTTTTTTTTGAGTAATGAGACATCTTTTCATATTGATAAATCATTATGTGTCCTTATTGTATTTTTTGTATGTGAGTGGTGTCTAGCATATTTTTTTATCTATCCTTACTCACATATATTTGCCTTGATCTTTATTGTATATATTCCATAAGGCATTTTGATAGGGGGAGCAATCCCTATATTTGTTTAATACTCACCCATGCTTATTTGTAGGGGGAGCTTTCGCTCTCTTCATTCTTTATGGTTTTCTCCGTTTTGATGTTGTCAAAGGGGAAGAAATATTGTGAGTATAGCCTTTCTTATTTATATGCATGATATATTCTAATTTATATATTCATTTCCTTTCATGCATATATCCTTTTTGTAAATTGTTTTTCATCATAAAAAAGGGGGAGATTATTGGCCTCTTTGTTTTGATGATGTTTAACAAATAATTTACCACTAATGTTATTTGTCTAGTTGGTGTATTTCTATTTATTGTAGACAAACAACGAGTTGGAGGATGGATGGAATAGAATTTTAACGATCATATCCAATGGAAGTTGGTGGAATAGTGGTTGAAGCCTACGCAATTCAAGTTAAAGATTCAAGTTTAAGCTTCATCCGCAAGTGTACCAAGTCGAGCTTATTGAAGACCTATAGTTTGGGTAATCTAGTTTAGGAGTTTATATTATGTGTGTTAAGTACTTTAAGCTCAATCATATACACACACATTTTATTGGTTTCTATGTATATATATATAGTTATATATATACACATCTTGGTTTTTGGTTTTATCCACAAACAAAGTTTTTACAAACAAATTCCAAAAATTATTTATACATGTTCATTTTCTATGTGGATAAGTTGTTTTGGTTTAATTTCATAGATATGAAACAAATATATATTCATATACATACTCATATGTTTCATATTCTATTGTATTTATGAAATTTGTATTCATTATTTATAGACTTCATAACAATAGTTTATATCTTTCTTTAAGTCTATAAAATCAGTTTATAGAGTTTCAAAACATGGTTTATGTCCAATGTCAAAACAAGTGTTTTTTCATTTATATGTTTTGGACTATTTTGTAAAATGAGGAGATTTCTCATTTGGGAGATACTTTTTGAAAACCAGTTTTTATAGCATGTGTATTATCATGTCTGCAATCATTTTCCAAAGTTTTACATTTTTTTGAATTTGTTTGATATTTTTAAACAAGGTTTTAAAGTCATAAAAACTGTTTCAAACCTATAATTGTCATATGTCAGTTTGCGATCGACCGCCACGGTCGACCGCCCTTGAGTCCAAAGACTCAGCATGATTTTCAGAGGCTCCCCCCCCCCCCCCCCCCCCGACCGGATGCAGTCCAGAGTCTTTTGCGGTCGACCGCCACGATCGACCGGCTGTTTTCCTGAGCCTAGTTTTTGCCTCTGAGTTGCTCGCGGTCGACCGCGAATTTCCCACGGTCGATCGCCGATCGTCCAACGGCTCTATTTGTACAGAATCTGATTTCTGATTCTGTGGGCTTTTTGGTCTTTTGTCTTGGGGTTTTGGCTGTTTGTTTTTCTTCCTCTATAAACCCTCAAACCCCTCTCTACCAGAGCAACCAATGGAATGTTTTAAACAAGTTTAAAATAGTTTTTAACAAGGGTTTAAGTTTGGTTTAAAGTTTGTTTGGTTTATGAAGATTGTTTTACAAGTGGAGGAAATCATCTACATTGATTGAGCTTCATCTTAATCCATATCTTCATCTTGTTTTTCAGATAAGAATTTCTAAACTCATATCTAGCTTTACATTTGCATATTTATTTGATTATCATTCTTTAAAGCTAGTTTTCATATTGAGTTTAGATTTGATAAATCTTATTGTTACACACACCCACATTGAGCTTATTGTATTTTCATACATAGTATATTTGGGTTGGTGAGAGTTGTAACATTGAGTGTGAGCCTACATTGAGTTCTCATCTATTATAGAGAATAAATCATTTGTTATATTGTGAGATTGTAAAGTTTTTGGTTAGCTAGAAAACTGAGTGTGAAGTGGAGATCTCCTCGAGGTAAGGTGCCGAGACGTAGGTCGTGGGGACCGAACTCCGTGAATGAAATTGTAAGGTGTAAACATTATTCAGGTGAGCGTAGAAAACCCGGTTGTGATAGTGGATTTCTCCCCGGGAGTGGGGAACAGAGACGTAGGAAGGAAGGTCCGAACTCCGTGATCATTTGCTTGTGTCTGCATAGTCTTTGGCGTACTTAATTCTTGTGTTCATATCTTATATCGCCATTGTTCTTTTGCTTATTTATATTGTCCTCTATATTGTTTCACCCTTGTGTTAGTTTATATATCATTGCATATATTTCACTATATATCTCATTGCTAGGATATTGCTCTTTATTCATATTGCTTATTCTTGCTTGTAACATCCCCCCCCCCCCCCCCCTCTAGGGTCTAAAAAAAGTTGCATGTGTAGGGTTAGAAATGAATGAACATACCTTTGTTTGATACTCTTGCAATGGATATGAAATTATTATTTAGTCCTTAATAAATAATAAATTAAGGAGTTCAAAAATAAAATTACTTACCTCACCAACTCCAACAGTTTTACATTGTTTGTTGTTTTCAAAAATCACATACCTATTCTTCTTCTTAGTTAGGCTAAGGAAAAAAATTTATGTTTCCTATCCCATGTTCTGAGCAACCAAATCAAGATGTTGTCTTGCTCCCTAGCCCGCATGAACACCTACAATAAAGAAGATATGTGTGACATAGGTTTCCACATAGGTTCACGCTGATTAGGAATTGTCCCTTGGGTACCAATGTTTGTTTTATAATTTATGTTTAATATTGTAAGTGATATGACATTGAGAAATGCCCCACTCTACAACATAAAGTGCAAGTCATAGATGATTCATTGGAGATAAGAACAGAGAAAGACAAATTATTTCCTTTCATAAAGGAAGGTTTGAAAAACTTCTTCTTACTAGCATATAAATATGTTAATTCAATTTTTTTCTTTAGCGAAATGTTGATTAGAAAGAATCATGTTTAAACTTTTAGAGCGCAAAGGGAAATTTTTTGACAGCCTTTTCTAAATCAAAAATTTTAGACTTAATTTATTTTCTAAAAAAATAGTAGTGCATCGAGTTTTAAACTTCTCTTGTTCATTGGACAATTCGCATGAAATATTGTTTAATCAAGTAAGTAAATTATTTTTTAAATATATTTCTCAATTAAATCACCATTCATATCTCTATATACGGAACACTGTAAACAGTCAAAGGATGAGGTGTTTGAACTTGCATTGTTAGGAGCATTCAACTTTAAATTGGATTTTTCTAACTTCTTTTATAAATTTTTGTTATCCTATTAGATTTGAATACATCCTTTTAAATTATTATATATATTAGTAAGTTCTTCAAATGGACCCAATATTTCATTGTTAGAGTTTTCGTGTTTGAAATCATCCAAATTAGTGTCTTTTCCTGTGAAACAAAAGGTGTGCCCTTTTCTCATCATTACTTGAGTTATTCTTGGACTTCTCCTCATCGCTTGACATGTCCCGTGAGGTCCCCTTGAATCTTTTCCCCGTTCCTTTATAGTTCTTTTTATTCAACAGGCAACCCTAGCTCGAGTGATCGGGTTTCCTGAATCAAAAATAAGTTAATTCAATATCAGAATCATTAGAATTATATTTATTTACCTTGCTTGTGTAGTGACTCTATTTGTCTTGAAAGAATTTTTTTTATCATCCTTCAATTTGAGGAAGAATTTGAAACCTTCAACAATTTGATCTATATCGTTATTTTTCTCTCTCAAAACGCGAACTTAAATCCATGTTTGCCTTGGCCTTAGGATTTTCTCTTTTCACTTTAAGGTCAATGACTTATTTTTTAGGTTGTCCTCCATGTGCTCTTCTCTCTCCTTCAATCTCACTTCATATGTAATAAGATTTTCTAAAAGATTATCAAGAGAGAGTTCAGATAAATTATGAGATTCCTCGATAATAGTTACCTTAGCATCTCATTCTGATGAAAGTGAGCGAAAAACTTTGTGAACGAGCTCATCTTGGCCTCACACCTTTCCCAATGCTTTTGCTTTTTTCATTGTTGATATTATTGTATGTGTTAGTAGTGGGTTTAGTCTCATATCGATTATGAGAGCACACATCACCCTCCTCTACTTGTATATATATGTGTACACATTCAATACTTAATCTAAGGGAAATTTACCCCAAGACTCTTTCTCTCCTTTAACATGGTATCAGAGCAAGGTTAATCTTTTTTTTGCTAAATATTAGCCTCGCCGCCTTGCGACCTCTTCATTGCTGTCTCCGTGCTTGCCGCATCACGGCCTCCGTGACAGCCGTCTCTTGGCCTCACACGAGCAACATCGTCATTTCACATTTAGTAACGGCATCACCGTTTCAAGACTGTCTCTCAGTCTCAAACTAATGGCATCATCGTTTCACATTCAGTAACGGTATCGTCGTTTCAAGACTGTCTCTTTGTCTCAAACTAACAGCATCGTCGTTTCAATCCATCTCGATGTCTCAACGTCTCAACATCGGCGTTGATCCGTCGTGGGTTTCATTTTTTAGGCCTCCATTGCATTGTCACTTAGTTGTGGGCCTTTACAATATTGTGTTACACTTAAGTAGGCCTTTCCTACACAACATTACTATTAATATGGCTCCTTCAAAAAAGATCACTAAACCATCCCAGCTCCTCAATGATCAAAGTGATTGGGCAGGATGGTCCACCATTGTCGCAAATGTCTTGCGTGGTGTTGTTCTGCTTGATCATCTCACCGATTTGGGACCAGTTCCACCGTCCATCAGCACTGTGGCTTCCTCCAATACCGTTACATCTGGCAGTGGTGATACCGATCTTCAAACCGCACATGCTCTCTATGTTAAGGAGAGTTCGGACTGGAAGTTGCAGGAATTTTGTGTTATGAATTATCTCACTGGCTGTGTTGGCTCTGGTCTTACTATCGAGATTAGCTCACTTCCCTCTACTCGGGGCATGTGGAGTCGTCTCACTAAGTGCTTCAAAGAGTACTCCGGTGTAAGGGAGGCATATCTTCTGCAACGCATTATAATACAACGTAAATGTAGTTTTTCTCTACAGTCTCATTTTGGTCAAATGCAAGCCTATTGGATAGAATTACGCTCCATGCTTCCTGGACGTGATTCTACATACGAAGACTGGCTAGCCTGGTATGAACAGCGCGAGGTGCATCAACTATTTTAGTCACTTCCTAAATATTTAACTATGGCTGACCAACTAATTCATCAGCCTCAATTTTTGACTTTGGCCTCCATTATGGGAGCTCTAACTGCTTATGAGACACAGTATCAGATCACACAACTCAAGTTGGCAACAGATGCTCTTGCCTCTTCACTCGAGACTGTTCGGTCTGTACCAGTCACTGCTCGTATTATGAACCGTACTTCTCAACAGGCTCAATCTAAGATTTTTTGCACATATTGCAAGAAGGAGGGACACCGCATTGAGACATGCTTTAAGATTCATCCTGAGTTACGTTCCCTAGGTACCGATCGTGGTCGGTGACCCCCTCAGTCTCAACCCTCTCGCGCACTAGGATTGTTGACCAATGCTATACCATCTACCACTTCTAACACTACTATTCAAGCAATTTAAAATCTTCATCGTCAACTTGATGCTCTTCAGCATACCACCTCTATATCACTATCTGGTTTTGCTAACTCATCGACTACACAAGTATCTGGTATGAATGATCTCTAGATTTTTGACTCTAGTTGTTCCTTTCATATGACTTGTAATGTCTCACTCTTATCCTCTATCTTCAATTCATCTTCTCTTCCCACTATCTGCATGGTTGCTGGACAATCATTGCCTAATACTCAGTATGGCTCTATCACCCTATAAAATGACTCATCTGGTCGTCTAACACTTGGCCCCGTCTATGTGGCTCCTCAGTTGTACTTGAATATAATTTCTATTAGTTCTTTATGTATGGTTGGCCTACTTATCTTATTTTCTTCTGATACTTGTCTTTTGCAGGATCCATAGATGGGAAAGACCGTTGGGGCTGGTCATAGGAGACACAATCTGTATTTTCTAAAATATACTCACCTTCCAGAGTCCATACGCCCACATTCTCTTGTTACTTTTGTTTGTCCATCAAAACCTTCTATCTTGCTTCCCACCGATTTGTGACATAGATGACTTGGTCATGTGTCCAATAAAAGACTGGAGAGTATTATCTAGTATGGAGTACTTGGTCATGTGGTATCTAGTTCTCATATTGAGTCATGTACTAGTTATAAATTGGCTAAATTTACTGCTCTACCGTTTCCAACTAGTACATTTGTCGCCACTTCCTTATTCGATTTAGTTCATTCCAATATTTGGAGGCCAGCTCCTCTATCTTCTTCATCTGGCTATTTATATTATATTAGTTTTATTGATGATTTTTCTCATTATACATGGGTATATTTACTTAAAAATTGCTCTGAGGTAACTACTGCGTATCAAGCCTTCACTACTATGATCTTCACTTGATGGAAAGCTCGTCTTAAAGTTTTTCGATCTGACTATGGCAAAGAGTATTTATCCTCTACCATGCGCTCTATCATGACCTCTCATGGGCCTATTTTTTAATAGTCATGTCTCTAAACTAATGAGCATAATTGTATTGCTGAACGTAAACATGACTATATCCTCGATACCGCTCAATCCATGCTCATTTCTTACACTATTTCTCGTTGCTTCTGGGTTGAGGCCATTATCACCATTATTCACGTCATTAATATCACTCCATCTAGTTTTCTTTCTGGTGCTCTCCTCATAGTCGCTTATATGCTTATACTCCTCGCTATGATCTGGCTCGCGTCTTTGGTTGTCGATATTTCATTTTTCTGCCATCTCATGAACATGATAAATTGTCTCCCAGAGTTGTTCCCTGTGTTTATTTAGGAATTAGTCCGGAACATCGAGGTTATCATTGTTATAATCATGCATCTCGTCGGGTTCATATATCTAGACACGTTCAGTTCGAAGAGGATTCTCCATATTACTTTGGTTCTGATAACTTTAATTTTCTCCACACTATTGATCGTCCTTCATCGCCAGCTGCACCACCCATTTCCTTACCTCGGTTCTCCTTTCGAGATATTATTAACATCTCTCTATCTTCTTCTATTGAATCTCCCTCACCCGAGCCTTCTCATACAACATCTTCTCCCCTAGCTCCCTCTCCCTCGGACACGGTGCCCACTGTCGAAAGTACTACTGACCTCCACACACCTGCTCCAGCATCTCCCCCGCCTGAGGTTCCTCTTGCTCTTCGTCAAGACAAACGACCACATGTTATGCCTAAACGGTATGCTTTGGTTACTTCCTATTCACCAATCTTTTATAATTTTCTTGATGACATTCATACTACCATTGAGCCAAAGTCTTTTCAAGAGGCAGTTCAATTTCCAAAGTGGTGATAGGCTATGGTTGAGGAATTATAGGCCTTTCAGTAAACACACACATGGAATGTTGTTCCTTGTCCTTTTGGCATCTCTCTAGTTGATAGTAAATGGGTTTATAAGATCAAGTATCGTCCTGATGGCACCATTGAACATCGGAAGTCCCATTTAGCGGCTTAAGGTTTCACTTAGTAATAGGGTATTGATTATGAGGAGACATTTGCTCCTGTTACTCAGATGTCCATCGTTCGTACTCTCCTTATAGTTGTTGTTGCCCATCATTGGCTCATATATCAGATGGATGTCAAGAATGCTTTTCTCCGTAGCTCTTTATCTGAGACAATGTATATGCAACAGCCTCCATCGTACAATATTCTTCTAGGACATGCATGTCTCCTTCGCCGTGTTGTTTATGGTCTCAAGAAGGCACCCCGCACTTAGTTTGAGTATTTTCGCGATGTCATGCTCAAGGCGGGCTTTATAGAAAGTTATCAAGATGCTTCTCTGTTTGTTCGTACTACATCGTGCGACAGAGTTTTATTACTCCTTTATGTAGATGATATGATCATTACAGGTGATGATGTTGCTGGTATATAGTATGCAAAATCTAAATTGCAGTAACAGTTTCACATGAAGGATCTTGGATCTTTTCGTTATTTTCTTGGTCTAAAAATTTCTCAGGGCCCGTGGGGAGTACTACTATCTCAACAAAAGTATCTCTCGGATATTCTAGCTCATACTGAGATAACTAATGATGCAACTGTCGATACTCCACTTTAACAGAATGTCAAACTTCTCTCTTCTGATGGTGAGCTGCTATCTGATCCTACCCGATACCAACATCTTGTTGGTTAGTTGGTCTATTTGTGCATCTCTCGACTAGATATCTCTCATGTTGTTGGCATTGTCAGTCAATTTATTAATGCCCCATATTTTGTATACTATGCTGCCTTATTACGGATTCTTCGGTATCTCTAGGGTACTAGCACTCGCTCTCTTCTGCTTTCTGCTACATCCGATTTAGAGTTTCGTGCATATTCTGATGCTAATTGGGCTGGTGATCCAACTAGCAGGAAGTCTATCACATGTTATTGTATATTTCTTGGTGATTTCCTTATTTCCTGGTGGAGTATGAAACAAGATGTTATTGCCCTTCCAGCACCGAGGCAGAGTATTGTGCAATGTCCACAACAGCTAAAGATATTATTCATCTTCGTCGTCTTCTCAGTGATTTCGGTATTTTTGTTCCGACTCCCACTTCTCTCTACTGTGATAATAAGAGTGTCATCTAGATTGTTAATAATCTAGTACTTCATGAGAGGACCAAACACATTGAGATCGACGCTCGTTTTGTTTGTCAACAAGTTATCAAGGACAAGACAATTTAACTTCCTTATGTCTCATCCGTCGATGAGCTTGTAGATTTCTTCACGAAAGCCTTACATGTTCATCGATTCTAGTTTCTTGTACGCAAACTCACTTTTTTGATCCAACATGAGGGGGGATGTTGATATTATTGTATGTGTTAGTAGTGGGTTTAGTCCCACATTAGTTATGAGAGCACATCTCATCCTCCTCTACTTGTATATATATGTGTACACATTCAATATTCAATCTAAGGGAAATTTACCCTAAGACTCTCTCTGTCTCTCATTTAACATTCACAATATCCTTGAAACATGTGAACATCTCTTGTATGCTCTTCGAGACCTTCATCTTAAAGTTTTCACACTTACTCACGAGCATTATGATCTTAGCCTCCGTAGCCTATGAAATACCTCGTGTGTGACCTGTAAAATATTCCAAATTTCCTGCTCATCCACACAACCAGAAACATGGTTAAATTCATCAAAGTTCAAAGAACATTATAAGGCATTTATAACTTTAGCATTAAGAGAGCATACTTTCTTTTTAGTTGTAGCCCATTTATGATACGGGTGTATCTTCTCTTCGGAACTTAGCGATCCTCATGGGAGCTTGAGGATAGATGATTCTCATACTAGCATGAGAATAGAGGTGTCAAACAGTATAAGAGAACACAGGAGAAAGCGTGGAACGAGACGACGAGCAGAAGAATCGAAGTACCCAGTTTTCAGCCTGTGAGTCGACTCATGACTATTATGAGTCGACTCATCAGGTTGAGTCGACTCATGACTGTCATAAGTCGACTCATCGCTGGTTGCTGAGATTTCTCCAATTTCTGCCGAGTCGACTCATCACAGTCATGAGTCGACTCATCGATGATTTCCTGGTTCGTTTGGGATTCTGTTCACGCGTTTTCCTGTTGGTTTTGGGTCTGGTTATTTACCAAACTGACATCCACGTTTGTATACCTATATAAGGGATTGTTTTAGGGTTTCTAAGCATCTTGGAAATCAGAGAGTTTAATCAAGAGAGATTAGATTCTAGATTGAGATTTGGAGAGCTTGTTCTTCAATTCTAGAGTGAGATTGTGAGGGAGAGATTGTAATCTTTTGTTCTTCATAATCTAGAGAATGTATTTTCCTTCACCAAACTGAATTGTTCTTGTGTTTTGGTCGTCCTCTTCTCAACCCACCTTTTGGTAATTCCGCGACCAAAGGGTGCTCGCACGATAACTCGTATCAAGTTGGTATCAGAGCATCAGATCCTGTGAAGGGGCATCCTGTGTATGGTCCTTACTCGATCCTAATACAAAGAGCTTGGCGAGATCCTTATTTCATTGGAAGGAGTCCGGGTTTTAAGGAAGAAGAAGATGGCTGAAGGAGACAATTCAATGAGGATTGATGCATT